ACCAGCAAACTCCAGTAAGTAGTCCTGTTATTTGTGTTGCAAGATCCTTATTATGTATACATGGAATTGTAAGAAATAAACATTTATGATATTGAAGCTATGGAATGGATTCATGTACAATAAAAAAGTTTTCTGTTTTAAGGAAAGAATGCTTTTGCTTGAAATATATCAGATACTGACATAAATCTATGTCTCTTCTGCTTAGGGTCTGAGGCAGTGGTGGGAACTCAAATCTCGTCATTATGATACAGTACTGTTCTTCAAGATGGGTAAATTTTATGAGCTGTTTCATATGGATGCTATGATTGGAGTCCAAGTACTTGGCTTACTTATGATGAAGGTAAGGAAGATGTGTGTAAAAATATAAAACAGGGATAGGAAGAATAAAGAAGTTTGTTTTAGTTTGATTGTAAAAGAGATTGTGGTATGGGATGACATTTGTATGAATGTCTATTTCTATATATTCAGTATTTATTTTTAGGGTTTTTTATCAATTTAAATGCTTTCTCTTCAAGGGCGAAAAGGCACATTCAGGTTTCCCAGAAATTGCTTATGGACGATATTCAGCCACTTTGATTGAGAAAGGTTACAAGGTTGCACGTATTGAACAAACAGAAACCCCAGATATGATGGAGAAAAGATGCAAAAACAGTAAGCAGATTTTTTTCTTTTTAGTATAGTATATGTAATTTGAAATTTGTTAAAATAATAAATAGATAAGTAAATAACATATATCCTGTTGCTAGACTTTTTCTTTCTTTATTATTATTTTTTTTTATATAATTGCATGATAAAATTTATTTAGGTATACTACATTTTTTTATTATTATTATTTTTAGTTATACTTGTACTGCAAGTTATTTGGTGATTTTACAATATACCACCCCTAACCTTATACAACATTTCTCAGTGGGCCGTCCAACAAAGTTTGACCGTGTTGTTAAACGTGAAGTGTGCCAGATTAGTACAAGAGGAACTCGAGTTTACAGTGTCTTGGATGGAGAAGCCTCAGAATCCTCAACAAATTATCTTCTGGCTATTTCAGAGAAGGTTATTTTTATATATATATATATTTTTTTTTGCATTATAAATTTGAAAACTTTAAGTATCAATAAGTTAGTTTGAGTTTGTGAATGAAAGGGTATAACTTTTTTTTCAAATTTATTAATGTTTATTTGTATTTAGCAGGGAGATTTCATTAGGCTTTAATATTTCCTTTTTTTATGTACAGATAAAAACTGGGGCTGGTGAGGGTCGTGAGTTTGGTGTAGCCTTCATTGACACCAGCATTGGAACCTTCCATATTGGCCAGTTTTCAGATGACCGCCATGATTCACGGTTAAGCACCCTCATGGCTCACTATCCACCAGCCCAGGTAAGTGAGAAAGGATTGCTTGTTTTATTTCTGTAGAAATATATGTCCCCTTTTCCTAACACTTTTATTCCTCTTCTTTTTCTCTACTCAGATATGATTGCTCATAAATGAAGGAATGATAATCACAAATATATACTTCATCTTGAGTACAGTACAGATATAATTCTTGAAATTCTAGAGCATAGTATCTTGCTGTGATCATTCTCATTTATATTTGTCACTGTTCACTGGCCTTTGCTTGTTTAATGTATATATGTATTCCCATTTTCATATACCTTATTCCCGTGTTTAATAAGTTTGATTTTCTAGATTCTCTATGAACGAGGACGACTTTCACAGAAGACCCAAAAACTTGTTACAATGTCGGTGCCTACCAATCTGCGAGAGGCCCTGGTGCCTGAGAAAGAATTTTGGACAGCTAGCAAAACATTAAGTTTCTTAGCTGATGGCACATATTTCAAGGATGAGGAGGGAGGATCTTTGCAGTGGCCTAAAGAGATTCAGGAAATGTTAGATAAGAGTAAGTTTTCTTTTACTGCTCTTCTTTCAGACCATTAACTAACATGTTTTGTATATATAACTTGCATTACACTTTTATAAATGTATCAATTGTTATACATGGAACTAAATGCTGAATGCATCTGTATCTCTGATTTGAAATGCTCCTGTTGTATCATCTGTTAGTGTTGTATATCTTTCATTTGTTAATACTCACTTTCTTTTGAAAAGGTGATACCTTAGGAAAAAGTCCATCTCCAGAATGGGAACTTGGGTTATCTGCCTTAGGTGCTCTTGTTTGGTACCTGATGGACTGTCGCTTAGAGGAGCAGTTGCTCACTAGGAAAAGGTTTGAAATATACAGTCCCCTAGATGAAGCAGTATCAACCAGACAAGGAAAGAAGGAGTCGGTTCCTGCGTTTATTAGTGGGAGGCACCACATGGTAAGTTGATGTTTCTTACTGATTCATAGAAAACATTGTTTAACATTTAATATTTCAGAGCTATTATATTTAGCTGTCTTTAGTTCATAGTAGAGTAAAATAACTTTATCACCAGTTCCTTATTATGTTTATTTTAATGATTTATAAAGGTCCTGGATGGCACAACCTTGCGGAACTTGGAAGT